GCGAGAGAGGATGAGTGTTGGTGGAGAGACGCTCTAGAAAACTTCGAGAAACCTGTTCCAGCCAAAGAATTCTTCAAGGACGACAACAAACCGTGGTGGGAGGAGGAGGAAAAGCCGAAGGTCATTTCTGCCAAGGACTTCTTCGAGGACGATCGGCCTTGGTGGGAGGCACAGGAAGAAGAGAAACCCAAGGTGATTTCAGCCAAAGAATTTTTCAAGGACGAGTTCCGGCCGTGGTGGGAGGCGGAGGCCGAGAAGAAGGTCGTTTCCGCCAAAGAGTTCTTCAAAGAGGACGACCGACCTTGGTGGGAGGAGGCCACGGCCGCCGAGGACGACTCCAGGGCCCCGGGGATGGTGGCGTCGTTAAAAAAAAGCTCGGTGGCTGCGTCATCTGCTGAGGGAGAAGTCGAGAGCGGCGAGGAAAGTGGAGACGAAAGCGAAGAGGAGAGCCTAGAGTTCGAGTCCTACGAGGAGTCCACGAGGACCGAGGACTATGAGGACGCCACCGAAAGCATGATGAGCGACTCCAGTACCATGTACAGCGCCAGTGAAGGTGAGCGCCTCCAGGCAAACATCGTGTTCAAGGAGAAGCCCTGGTGGGAGACCGAGGGGGGTGGCGGACACGGGTCGCCAGAGAGACAGGTGCCGGATGATGTGAGCGAAGTGAGCGAAGCCACCGAGACCCTGGACATGGACGGCAGTGAGATCAGCGAGATGACGACTGAGGTGTCACAGGGATCCATCGGCGAAACAGACACTTCGATCAAGTTCATGCGAAGAGAAAGGGATGTTATGAAGAGACTTAGAGACAAGGGGGAGGAAGAGGAGGAGGAGGAGGAGGAGGAGGAGGAGGAGGAAGAAGATGAGGAAGATGGAGATGATCTTGAAAATGACGAAGAGGAAGAAGAAGATCAGGAAAAGGAAGAGGTACCTTCTATTGAAAGAAAGTATAAAGCAAATGAAGATGAAGATGAAGACGAAGAAGAGTGTGAGAGTGAAAGTGAGGAAGTAAAGAGCGAAGATGAAATTGAAGACATGCCCGATGAGGAACTCGAAGAAACAGATCTCAAACTGGAAGAATTGGATGAGGAAATTAAGAAAAGCACCAAGACTGAAGATGTTTCAGTAGAGTCACAAAATACAGATATCACTGAGGAAACCAAACCTACCAAAGACAAAGAGGAACCGATCCAAGCAAACCAAGAACCTGTAAGTGAACCTGTAGTTAAAGTGGAGGAAAAAGCTTCCCCAAATCTTGAGAAAGTTGAGACGTCGATCACAGTCTCGAGAGGTAGATCTCTCTCGCCGGAAAGAACACCCGGAACAAAGACAGAAACGGTGAGTAAACCGGACGAAATTCCTTTGAAGGAGAATACCAATAACATAGACATAGAAATCACTAATCCAGATTGTTTAACAGAACATTTACTTAGCGTTCAGCAGATCGAGGGAAATTTGCAGAAGTCGGATTCTCAGACGAGTGGCTACGACTCAAGTTTATCTTTGTCAGAGAGTAAGGCTCGAGATCTTTCCAGAGACTCTGGGTGTGATATATCTGTTGGAGAAGCTGAGAAAACTGTTGATAAGGAAACCAAGAACGAGTCTGAGAAAGAGACTAGGCTTAACACCGACAAGGGCATTCCTGTTGAACCATCTGAAACTATCGAAATCATCCCAGAAGAAACTATTGAGCAGACGGAGGGGAATGTGAAGGTCCAATCTACTGTTGGAAACAAAATCATAATACAACTCAAGCTGGAAAGTGATATTTCTCCAGACAACAAAGCTGGCAACTTAAGTGTCAAAACTACTGAAGAACAAGAAAAAGAACAGAAATCCTATGCAGCAGCAGTGAAAGAAGCCACTGTAAAATCGCCCATTCAGAAGAAAAGAGCCGATGAGACATCCAGTGAAAGTAAGGATCTTGATTTGCTGGAAGGCGATGCAGATCAAAGTGTGGCCAAAGAAAGTGTAGACAAGGTCGTAGTGAATAAAATGGATGCATGTTTAGCAAAGGTAGATGCAAGTTTAGCCTGGGTAGATGCTAGACTGACAAGAGATGGTCACAAAACTTCCACCGAAAATCTACCACAAAAAGACGTTGAAAAGGATAAGGTTACCTATGCTGGCATTGTCAAAAGTGGAGCTAAAATCAATATTCCTCAATTGATAGACAAGAAAACGAAACAGCCCAACTCCTCTGATAAAAAGACACAGCCACAGCCGCAGAACAAAGCTAAATCTGGAGATAGCCTAGTTGTCTTAAAAGTACAAGCACATGTGCCTGAAGAGCACACAAAAGAACAGGAGAACACCAAGGATACATGTGAACCTAGTGAAACTCCAAGTGAACAGAAGAAAGCCGAACCATCAATGGATGTGAAGAACATCAGTTCATCCCCTATACCTCCGTCTCAACCAAAAGAAACACAAGAAGCACGCAACAGGTCAATAACATTTGCAAATGAACAGAAATCTCAGACTTCACCTCCAAAGGACACCCCAGATGCACGCAAGGATTCTCAAACCAAAGGCAGAACCCCTACTACAGTACTCACTGAGCAACAGAGCACCAAAACGAGAGAAATCAAGCAAGAGCCAGTAAGCCAATCCAAAGCAGAGGCATCACAAGCCACAAGACGCGTTAGACCAGCGATGAAGGAAGGCAAAGAAACCACAATGGAAGAGACCAAAGAAATTTCAAACAAGAGAGAAGAACCTGTTTCTGAGAATGTTCCAAGGAGGCGTGAAAGGAGGACAGAAGATAGTACAAGACAAAAGAGTCCTTCATCAGATAAGGAAAAACAAGATTCTAGTCCAGATAAAAGACAAAGGAGAAGAGAAGAAAGCAGAACAGAACATAAGGAGGAACAGCAGAAATCCAGTCCAGCAGATGTTTCAGAGGGTAAATCGTCTCCTATATTACAAGGTGAACTCAGACGGAGGAGAAGAGGAGAAAGTAGACAAGAAAATGAAATTCAGGAAAGGTTAAGTCCAACAAACAGTGATATAACTGAGGCCTCTCCTAGGCCAAGTGAAGTGCGCAGAAGACCAGAAAGCAGAAGTGAAGGCAAACCACAACAGATGCTCAGTTCAACAGACCTTAACAAAACTCAGACAACCACTGGGGTTAGACGGAGATCAGAAAGCAGAAAAGAAGAAATACCCAGCCCAACAGACATTAATCTGTCAGAAGAATCCCCTAAAACGCACGAAGTTCGGCGTCGGTCAAGAACGGAAGCAAAGGCACATGATGAGTCATCAAAAGAGCCGTCTTTGACGAATGCTCAAGGGGGAATCAACTTCATCGACGACCCACCGACGCCACAAGTGGTCAGACGCCGGAGGCCAGATACCGCGTCCACAGACGCCTCCAAGGAGAACAAACCTGCAGGCCATGAGTCCCAAGACGTGCCTTCAAGACGGGGTAGCGACGAAGTCAGTTCCCCGGAGAGGTCCTCCCCCGAGCTCGAAAGTGCTCTCCCAGGTCTTGCTTCTAGTAAGACACTCTGGAGATGTAGTACTTATGAGACGATGAGCCTTAGTGACTATGACAACCTCGCCTTTATGATCCGCAAATCCCGGAGTGCCCCAGCGTGCCCGGATCGAAGGCGAAGGAGGAAGAAGCAAGACCTTTCGGGGAGCATTGAGTCTTTGGATCAAGCCAAAGGGCAGACTCCGGCAGCTGAGTCTTCGACTGGAGTTTCCTCTGAGAGTGAGTCCCCCCAGACCGACGAGTCTCACAGCAAACAAGGCGATAGATCCCCTGGTTCCCCACCCAAAGCGAACACTGGAACAACCACAACAGAAACAAAGACAACAACCACACCCACATGCACCACCCCCCCACCCCCAACGCCCACACGAGACGATTCCCAGAGGAGGCCGTCGAGCCGCACACAGCCAACCATGCATGAGTCTTCTCCTTGCAAAGCCGAAGTACCTGAAGTCCCTTCACCGAGACAGTCGCCAGAGCCCTCTAAGGTAGTAAGGTCTCGTAGTGTCACTAACAGTAGCCGAAGGAGCCGTGACCGGGACTCACCTGCTGCTCCGCCTCGAACTAGAGACCAAACATTGCCAAAACAGTCTGTAGATACTCAAGTTGCTGACCATAGAGCAGAGCAGAGTTCTTCATCTTCCACTAACGCAGTTCAAAGGTCAACTAACACCGCTTTGTTATACGATCCAGATAACAAAGAACGCCGTAAAATAGACTCACCAGCAACCCAAGCCAGGCCAAGCCAAGTGCCGCCGGTCCAACAAGGCTCCGGGAAGGGCAGGGACTCCAAGCCTCAGAGTGAGAAGCCTAAAGAGGTAAGCCATGACTGGAGCAACGTTTTTACACTCACGTCCGCTGTTCTGCTGCTTCAAAATCTTGCTTTTATATATTTCATCCTGATTCCCTTCCTCAAACTGGTAGCTTCACTTTTGTACACCTAGTGGCCTTCCATGTATTTGAAGAACGAAATGAGACAAAAAAAAAAAAAAAAAAAAAAAAAAAAATCAGGTGAAAAGTACAAGCCTGGAGAAAATAGATATATCTCATTACCTATCTGTCAATATCAAAGCACGTGTGAGACATATATCCACTAAAAAAGATACTGTATTTCATCCTAAAATGAAATATGTATTTTTAGTTTTTTGGGGGTAGATCTGACGAGGGTATTTCGCTATTTCTACTTGCAGTTGTCTTCTTCGCTGGCTGGGAAGACTGACCACGTGAGAAAATCCTCCTCCTGCAGTCTGAGTTGAAGCTGTCTTAAAATTGGTCATTTCGAATTTAGCATTACGAGACAAATTCAGTTTTCTTTACTGTTCTTTTTTCACTGTAACATAAATCGTTGTAGAAATACCCTCTTCACGTAGAAATAGTTTTTTAAAATTTTGTTTTTGTTTTTATTTGTTCTGTTCATAGATGTCACGTATATATGATATGTTTTTTTATATATATAACTGATTTAGGTAATATTTACTTTTTTTATGGGGTGATTTTTTTTTTC